GAACTGGATGGGATCCATCGAGTTGGGATGGTAACATCTGGGGAGACAAGGAGATTGCTCACTTGTCTAAAATATATAAACAACAGACTGCACAACCCACAGATGTTTGGGTAGCTAGGCTGTTGGATAAAGGTGGAGGTCAGGTAGGAGTGAATTCAGCGTATCGACAGGGAGTCAGAGCTTTGCAAGACTCGAGACCTTTGTTTGAAGGTTATGAAGGTTATTCTGATGCAGAGGCAGTCCGACAGATGTTTCCTGGAGCATCGGATTGGCCTGATTTACAGGAGCATTGGGTGACCTTAGAGGGATGCGAGCAGAGATTGGTTCCACTGTGTCTAAGGAATGCGCTCGCTGTGCGTTGGGTGGTAGATTATCAAGTGCATGTTGTTTCAAGGACTGATGTTCGAAGCCAAGTGTTGAAACTGGGTACACTCGGAGATTGGAACACAGAGAGAAACACAGAGCTGAAAACCGTGAAAAAACATTTAGTCAACCCATGGGTCGTGGGCCGAGAAGGGACGGCCGGAATAACATGCAGGAACCTACTCGTTCTGCTTTCTGGAGGGCATTAATACAGGTAGGAGTGCCTCCAGCTGAGATGGATGGTGTCTCAGCAGAAGAGCTGAGGGCTAGATGCCATTATTTAGATTAAAAGGGCCAAAAGTAGAAGGTCCAGAAGTTGACATCAACCTTCTGAAAGCAGATATTGTCAACATTGAACATCAAAGGTCCAAAATTAGAGAGCCCAGATTTTGACGTTAAATTAAAAGGCCCCAAACTTGAAGGTGATATTGATGTTACATTTTTACTCGGACTGAAACGGCTTCCCAGTCTGGTGTCACGGTGAGGGGCTTTTACATCAATATCTGATTTGTACTGAATGTACTTGTACTTTGCTTCACTGTATCTGTGGTGGTTTAATAAAATAACACATTATTATTCTAGCAGAAACAGCCTGTGAGTGTTTATTCATTGTTCCGACCATTCACCCGAACCTGTACTTTGTTTAAGATAATTTCATAGAACAGACTCTCACCATCCACTGGAACACAAACTCTCTGTCATCAGAACTTTACAGCATTGGGCCGAACGCATCCCCACAAAGACAGAAGGGAAGGAAAAGGAACAGAAACACATCCAAGAAGCTCTCCAAACATGTGGATATCCTAACTGGGCTTTTGTCAAGTCAGCAAGGAAATCTACAAAACACACTAATAAACAGAAAAAGGAGAACAACAGATGGAAAAACATTGTCATCCCTTATGTTGCTGGAGTGTCAGATAAATTCAGAAGGATTTTCAACAAACACAACATCCCAGTACATTTCAAACCCAGCAGGACTCCAAGACAGAGGCTGGTCCACCCTAAGGACAAAACACCCATACACAGAGTGGTGTAGTGTATGCGGTCCAGTGTAGTGAGGACTGTCCAGACCTCTACATTGGAGAAACTAAACAGCCTCTTCACAGACGCATGGCTCAACACAGGAGAGCCAGCTCATCAGGACAAGATTCAGCTGTTCACCTCCACTTCACAGATAAGGGACACTCTTTTGAGGACCAAAATGTGCAGAATGCCAGATTTCTGTATAGCAGCGCTGAAAAACTGTCCACTTTGATGTGTACAGTGCTGTGGTAGATGCAGCACGTGAATCCTGGATCGTACACACTACATCTTGAGAGAGACCTATCCTCTCTAAGCGGATCCGCTCAGTGGCCAGACTCAAAGGTGCTGGCCTATTTCTGGGTAACTCCTGATCGCTCCTTCTGCCTGGAGGAGAGCATCCTCCCTCCACGGCAGTTTCCAAGGGTGACCCAATAACAGGCGTCGTAGAATTGGGACCCACAGGGCGTTCACATGTTCTGGAGCCACCAGGAGAGAGAGTTAGGGGCGAGACGAGGGGTGCGGCTTGATCAGATGGCGCACAATCTCTGACACTTCCTCCGGCTTTTTCTATTTCTCAAGCATGTCCTTGAAAATTGGCTCCGGACAGCGTGTCCGTCGTGATTGGGCCTTCCAGCGAGTCCATCTGCAGCTTCTCCAACAGGGAGGGGGAGTGACAAGCCAGGTGGACCTCTGAACCATTGTCATCCAGACTGCGATGCGAGATAGGCAGACAGCAGACGAGGCTGACACTACGCTCTCCAGGAGGGAGTGAGCAGCGGGGGCTGCTGCTGACGTCGCCTGTCCTGGAGGAACCATCCGATTCGCTCCAAGAGTCGGCGATAAAAGGAAAAAAGGGTCGATGGCATCGTCCAGTGTGTAGCGACCCGCCACTGAGACATATTCTTCGGCGCTTATCTTGAAACAAGGCTGCTCGTCTGCTTCTCCTCGGGGAGGAGAACTCACCAGGACGGCAGGAGGTTGGCGTGGCGGGACCCCAGGCCGCCTTAACAAAGGTTGTGCCGATCAAGCTGGACAACTTCCCTTCTTCGTTCTTCTGACAGTGCTATTAGCTTGCTGAAGAAAAATGGGAGGCGATTACCCACTCTTAACGTAATTTATACAGACCGGGTGGGGCCCATGCAACAAGTGGGCTTGGACTAATTTTTTTCAGTGCGATGCTTTGCATGACAGGATAAACCCACCAGCGACAGCCTTTAAAGGGCGAAGCCTATACGAAATAGAACAAAACAAAGCAAACCAAAAAAAAAAAAAAAAATAGAAACGTTTTGTCTTCCATCCGAAAGACTTCCTCAGTCTGAGGTGCTGTATTCAGCTCAGTCTTATAAAGTTACTCTCTGAGAAGGTGCTGTTTATAAGACTGAGGTGAATACAGCACCTCAGACTGAGGAAGTCTTTCGGATGGAAGACAAAACGTTTCTAAATTTTTTTTTATTTGCTTTGGGTTTTTTTTTGGAATGTCAAGAGGACCAGATTTAACTTTTTGAGATTTACCCTTGTTGTTTTTTTTTTAAATATAATATTGCAAAGCAACATGTTAAGTTAATTTTGTCAAATGAATATGATTTCTGTTTTTTTTTGTTTTTGTTATTGTCAGAATGCTCTGAAATTAGGGGTGCGATCTTAACTTCAATCTTAACCATATTAATTCATATGTAGTAAATCTTTAACAAAATTTCAAAACTTGTGCAAGTCTGCACAAAAACCTCTTCTGAACTGTAATTTATAAACATAAACTGTATCATTTATAACTGGCTCCAGGAGATGTCTCATCTGGCCTCTTCAACCTGTTAAAAAGACAAATTGCATAAAGTTTGTTGTACAACTTGTCTATAAGTTTTAGTATATGATAAATAACTGTTACCTTTGAGCTGCAGCTGCATCAGAGCTTCTCCCATTCGTTGTTTCATGGTGAAGTTGTGGAGCTGCTTTATTGCAAATAAATAAAATAAAATCTACGTGAAGGAATAATGTACATTGAATCCATCATATTAAAAATAAACCTGAACCCCTCACCTTCCACTGAGCGGTCTGATTGTAAATCCTTTGTGATATAGCAGGAGATGGAGAGGGAAATCTTCACAGCTTTTGGAGATGCTTGGAAGTTTGTTGCAGAGTTCGCTGATCGGCTGCTTCGCTTTCATCTTCCGTGAATTTTGTCGTATTTCCAAAATACTGTACCGCAATTTTATTTTACACTTCTTGTAAACAACAGTGCTCTTCTTAAGCTCTGTCTTCCCCCAAAACATTGTAGGATCTCAAATGATTTTTAAAGACGAAGCAGCGGGTTGAATCGTGCTGTCCCCCTCCTCCATGCTAGCAGGCTCCATTCAGATAAGGGAGCTGGCTAACTAGCTTGCTGTACGGTGGCCTACACGGCTCGATTCTACGGCGGCCAAACGGGGAGTAGGAGCGGAAAAAATATAAAACTTAAATGCATTTTAAAATTGATTTTTGGACCTTTAGAAACGATTCAGAATCGCCAGGACTAAAACAAAATCTTTTTTTTTTTCTGCACCCCTATCTGAAATATCACAATATTATATATATCGTCCACTTCAGCCAAGGATTAAATTTGAATTGTTCAAAATTACCTGAGCACATTTTCAGTTTTTTTTTTTTTTTTTTTTTAGCTACGTTTTATAACTAGATTAGCTGTTCCTGAGATCTGGCGTCGTCTTCCCAGTCAGGATGACGACTGGAAACTTGGTTGGAATTCTACGTTTAAGATATTCTTATGAGGATTTCTTGATGCCATTTGAAATAGGAAACCTCAAACCATATTTACTGTAGCTAATGCAGTGTTTCCCCTAGGTCTCTTGCCTTGGCAGGGCGCTCATCTCTTCATTGATTTTTGTCGATAGGGGTGGGGACGTGGGAGACGTCTTTATTGCATGCTAGCTTAGCGCTGTGTTAGCGTCGATAGTTGTCGAACAGGGGTGGGGTGGAGGGGTTGGTTTTCAGTAGGCAGGGTGCTCGGTTCTTTTGACAGGGCAGGGCGCCCTCCTTGGACAACGGTAGGGGAAACACTGCAATGAGATTTCCCAGCTGGTAGGGGAAAAACAAGCTAGAGTGTATACTGGCTCGCAGGGAAAGATTTAAGGCTTTTCTGCTCAAAATTGTAGTTGGTTGTCGTTACTGCTTAGGAAAGTGCTTCAAAATCTTCTTTAGGATTATACATCAGACTTTTCATTCAAGGGATCCATAGATGATATTCATCATATTTTGATAAAATGCAACTATGGCAATTTTTTTCAACCAATGCACTATATATACCTCCTAACATACAGTTTTGGACTTTTGATTAGTGAAACTGACAGAGTTATAGCCATTTTTGTTTTGGATGATGTTGATTAGCTCGAGCATCCATCTTGATTTGGTTGACTCTAAAAGTGAATCAGTTGTGGTCTACATTCAGTGGTAATTTGTTGAAAGTTTTATTAAAGTGTATTCAATAATTCATGAGATGTTTTTCAGACAAACTCTAAACATTGTAGCTCTTTTGGTGGCGATAGATACAAAGGCCTGCATGTACTCTTTCTGAAGGCAATTGATAATCACTTTAATAATAATTTTCTTGTTTTTTTTTTCCTCAGACTCATCATGAATTTTTTTCTGGAAACCCTTCAAGTCATCATTTTGTCTTTTTGGTACAATTTGGAATCTTTATTTTTTTTCTTGGTGCCAAGAAAGAAGAAGAACATCAGTGGAGAGGTGGTTCTGATCACGGGGGCAGGGAGTGGTATTGGTCGTCTCATGGCCCGTGAGTTTGCAGCCCTCGGTACTGTTCTGGTGCTGTGGGACATTAATGAGGAGGGAGTGAAGGAAACGGCTCGGATTATTAAAAGCAGCGGAGCCAGCAGGGTCCATTGTTTTGTCTGTGATTGCAGTGACAAGAAGGAGGTTTACAGAGTAGCTGAACAGGTAATAATTACTAAACAACATGCTGCAAGTTTAAATAATGAAAACCAACAAACATAAATATATGTAGGTGCTGGTCATAAAATTGGAATATCATGAAAGTTTTTATTTCAGTAATTCCATTCAAAAAGTGAAACTTGTATATTCATTCATTACACACAAACTGATATATTTCAAATGTTTGTTTCTGTTAAAGTTGATGATTATAATCGACAACTAATGAAAATCCCAAATTCATTATCTCAGAAAATTAAAATATTGTGAAAAGGTTCAATATTGAAGACACCTGGTGCCACAGTCTAATCAGCTAATTAACTCAAAACACTTGTAGTGGCCTTTAAATGGTCTCTGTCTAGTTCTGTAGCTACACAATCATGGGGAAGACTGCTGACTTGACAGTTGACCAAAAGATGACCATTGACACCTTGCACAAAGAGGGTAAGATAAAACATCATTGCTAAAGAGGCTGGCTGTTCACAGAGCTCTGTGTCCAAGTGCATTAATAGAGGCGAAGAGAAGAAAAAGATGTGGTAGAAAAAAACTGTACAAGCTATAGGGATAACTGCACCCTGGAGAGGATTCTAAAAAAGTTAAATCTGGTCCTCTAAACATTCAAAAACCAAAACAAAGCAAAACAAAAAAAAAATGTAGAAATGTTTCGTCTTTCATCCGAAAGACTTCTTCAGTCTGAGGTGCTGTATTCAGCTCAGTCTTATAAATAGCACCTTCTCAGAGTGGATCAACCAGTTTTGCTGCTGACAACCAAAACCAGCAGCTCACATGATCAAGAAGGACCATCGGCCTAACGATGCACCCTGCACCCTGATGGCTGTTTACTATTCACAGGGGGTTGAGTGATACTTGCAATCACAGCATTGTAAGAGGGGGACAGTTTAACCCGGAGGCCTCCACCCCTGTTTAATGATGGACGATTTCTTTTCACAAAGATGGCCTCCTTTACTCCTCTCTCAAACCATCGTTCCTCTCTATCCAGGATGTGAACATCTTTATCCCTGAAAGAGTGACCGCTGGCCTGGAGATGAGTGTAGACCACAGAGTCCTGGCCTGATGATGTTGATCTTCTGTGCTGGGCCATCCTTTTGGCCAGTGGCTGTTTAGTTTCCCCGATGTAAGACTGATCACAGCCCTCCTGACACTGAACAGCATACACAACATTACTCTGTTTGTGCCAGGGGACTGGATCTTTGGGATGAACCAGTCTTTGCCGTAATGTATTTTGGGGTTTAAAAGCCACTGGGACGTTATGTTTAGAAAATAAATGTCTCAGTTTCTCTGATACTCCCTCAACATACGGAATGGCCACTGGTCTGGGTCTAGGTTTCTCCTTTTTACCTGATGGCTGACTGGAGTACTGTTTGGGTTTCTTCTCTGCTTTCAAGAAGGCCCAGTTAGGATATCCACATTGCTCTAGAGCCTGTCTTGTGTGGGATTTCTCCTTCTGCCTGGCTCCTGAGTTAATGTGACAGCGTCCCCACTAACTCAGGACCCTTTGAGTATCTCGATAAGATAGAAAGGCGCTATATAAGTACAGTTCATTTACCATATCACTCAGCCTCCTGTGAATAGTAAACAGCCATCAGTGTGCTAATGATCCATTGTTAGGCTGATGGTCCTTTTTGACCATGTGAGCAGCTGGTTTTGGTTGTCAGCAGCAAACTGGTTGATCCACTCTGAGAAGGTGCTATTTATAAGACTGAGCTGAATACAGCACCTCAGACTGAGGAAGTCTTTCGGATGAAGGACAAAACGTTTCTACATTTTTTTTGTTTTTGTTTTTGAATGTCCAGAGGACCAGATTTAACTTTTTTTAGATTTTTCTACCTGGATTATTGAGCATGCATCAGGATACCTGGATAGGATTGTGAAACAAACCCATTCCAAAATGTGGGGGAGATTCACAAAGAGTGGACTGCAGCTGGAGTCAGTGCTTCAAGAACCACAACGCACAGGCGTATGCAAGACATGGGTTTCAGCTGTTGCATTCCTTGTGTCAAGCCACTCGAACAAGAGACAGTGTCAGAAGCGTCTCACCTGGGCTAAAAACAAAAAGGACTGGACTGCTGCCGAGTGGTCCAAACGTATGTTCTTTGATGAAAGTAAGTTTTGCATTTCCTCTAGAAATCAAGGTCTCAGAGTCTGGAGGAAGAGAGGAGAGGCACAGAATCCCTGTTGCTTGAGGTCCAGTGACAAGTTTCCACAGTCAGTGATGGTTTGGGGTGCCATGTCATCGGCTGGTGTTGGTCCACTGTGTTTTCTGAGGTCCAAGGCCAACGCAGCCGTCTAAACAGGAAGTTTTAGAGCAGTTCTTGCTTCCTGCTGCTGACCAACTTTATGGAGATGCAGATTTCATTTTCCAACAGGAATTGGCACCTGCACACGGTGTCAAAGCTACCAGTACCTGGTTTAAGGAACACGGTATCCCTGTTCATAATTGGCCAGCAAACTCGCCTGACCTTAACCCCATAGAAAATCTATGGAGTATTGTGAAGAGGAAGATGTGATACGCCAGAGCCAACAATTCAGAAGAGCTGAAGGCCACTATCAGAGCAACCTGGGCTCTCCTGACACCTGAGCAGTGACACACACTGATCGACTCCATGTCACACCACATTGCTGCAGTAATCCAGGCAAAAGGAGAAACAATTAAGTACTGAGTGATGTACATGCTCATACTTTTCATGTTCATACTTTAAAGTTGGACAACATTTCTAAAAATCCTTTTGTTTTTTTTAATTGGTAAATGGACTGGACTTGTATAGTGCCTTTCTATCTTTATCAAGACACTCAAAGCGCTTTACACTACACTCTGTGCCTCATTTACCCATTCATACAGCACTCTAGATCTCTACAAAGCTAATTGACTAAAGAGACTAATCAGTGCTTTATATCACATTCATACACCGATGTGACACACATCGGAGGCAACGAGGGGTTCAGTGTCTTGCCCAGTGACACTTCGGCAAGTGACTGCTGGTGGAGTTAACTCTCAACCCTTGCGTTGGAGGACGACTGCTCTAACCACTCAGCCACAGCCGCCCTTGGTCTTAAGTTTTATTCTAATTTTCTGAGATACTGAATTTGGGGTTTTAATTAGTTGTCAGTTATAATCCTCAACATTAAAAGAAATAAACATTTGAAATACAACAGTCTGTGTGTAACGAATGAATGTAATATGCAAGCTTGACTTTTTGAATGGAATTACTGAAATAAATAAACTTTTTCAAGGTATTCTAATTTTATGACCAGTACCTCTATATACATTGTATACATATGTATATCTTTTGTTTTTTCCTTGCAGGTTAAGCGGGAAGTGGGTGATATCAGCATACTGGTAAACAATGCTGGAATTGTGACGGGAAAGAAATTTATGGATTCTCCAGATTCTCTCATTGAGAAGACGATGGAAGTAAACACAATGGCTCATTTTTGGGTAAGGCATAAAACAGACTAGTGGCATTTTTGTGTTTATAGCCAAATTATATTCCATTAAACCTAATTATATTAGACTACTGGAGGACAAATTGATCTCATTTCCTTAAATGATTTGCTAAAATTGAATAGCTTTCATTTGCTACTATTTCTATCTTAAAATGTGATTTTTGACCTGCCATTGTGTATCTGTTCCTCTCAAACCCAGCTGGTCAAAGCAGATGGCCGCTTGTCCTGAACCTGGTTCTGCTAAATGTTTCTTCCTCATGAGGGAGGTTTTCCTTTCCACTGTCGCCTTCATACTTGCTCAAGATGAGAGTTCTGCGATGAAGTTAAATTCAAAGCAGTCTGCTCCTCAGATAAATAAAGTGAACTTATTATTTTTTTATATGAATGTTTCTGTTCATTGCCCTGAGATGACTTTTGCTGTGACTTGGTGACCAGCAGTCGCATGTCGAAGTGTCCCTGGGCAAGACACTGAACCCCTCATTGCCTCTGATGTGTGTCCCATCAGTGTATGAATGTGATCTAAAGCACTGATTAGTCTCTTTAGTCAATTAGCTTTGTAGAGATCTAGTATAGAGCTGTATGAATGGGTAAATGAGGACACAGATTGTAGTGTAAAGCACTTTGAGTATCTTGAAATAAGATAGAAAGGCGCTATATAAGTACAGTCCATTTACCATTTAGTGCTATATAAATAAACTGAGTTGAATTGAAATTGAATTAATCACCGCGGTAGTGCAGGTGGAACATATAATAACTAGGGGTGTAACGGTAAGCTAAAATCACATTTCGGTTCGGCTGAGTTTCAAGGAGGGCTCGGTTCGGTTAATTTATGGTAGATAAAAGCCCAAAATAAAGACTTAAAAATGTTTATTGTGAAAATATGCCAAGTAAACAATATGTTTGTATAAAAATAAATAAAAGCGACCAATTTGAATGATATTTTAAATAAACGGCACTCTTTACAATAAATAAACTATACTAACAATAATGAAAAGCTTAATAAATACAATAACAGTCAGAACTAGAACAATAAGCAGCAACAGACCGTTTACAATCTTACTGATCGTTTTAGTTCTACGTGTACTGACATTCTGAACTCTGTTGCTCCTCTGAAAATCAAAAATAGGAAGTCACTTCAGCCGTGACGGAGCGAATCAACCCGCGCGCTCAGACGTCAGTGCAGACGAGCTGAGAGGAATTGGATTAAGAACAGACTGCAGGTTTCCCTGGACATCTTTAAGGACAGCTTGTGAAATTGTCAGAGAGCTGTTAATGTTGCTAAGACTGCTTTTTTATTTAACGTGGTTTTAAATAACAGTCACAGACCTCGGGTTCTTTTTAATGTTTTTAACTCTGTTGTGAATCCTTGTGATGCTGGTCATGTTGCTGAATTTCCTACACTGTGTGAACAGTTTTCCAAGTTTTTTTATTGATAAAATCTCTACTCTGAGACCCTCCTCAACACAACTTTACACACATCCCTCCTTACTTCCTCCATCCTCAGCTGCCTTTGAACAGTTCATGCGCTCAGCCAAGAAAAAAGTCTGATAGGAATTTTTTTTGCCTCTAACTCCTACATGTGTCCAGTTAACCAATGTTTTTTTCTGTCCAAACAGGTCTCGCTTGTAAATGAGTCTTCGAGGCTCAATGTGATTTATCTGTTTAAATAAAGGTTGAATGAAAAAAAAAAAATCATTTGTTTTTGACCATTAAGTCAGACAGGGTCACTCCACTGGATCCACTCTTGAACTGTCTAAACGACATAAAAATCTGGTTAAAACTAAACTTTCTGAATTTAAATGAAAATAAAACAAAAGTCATCAGCTTTGGTAAATGTAACACCCTTGACACTCTTGGCCTATTGGCTTCATACAGCCTCACCAATGTTAGGAATCTGGGAGTTATTTTTGATGGTGCTTTAAATTTAGACAAACGGATAAATACAGTTGTGAAATCCAGTTTCTTCCAGCTAAGACTCATTGCCAGTGTGAAGTCTTGTCTCCCTTTCAGAGACCTCGAAAAGGTGATTCACACTTTTATTACATCTCGTTTGGACTACTGTAATTCATTGTATGTTGGTTTAGACAAATCATCTTTGCATCGCTTACAATCTGTCCAGAATGCTGCAGCTTGTCTTTTAACAACTAAAAAAATATGAACACATAACCCCTGTCCTGGCTTCTCTCCACTGGCTCCCTGTCCACTTCCGGATTGATTTTAAGATTTTATTGCTTGTTTTTAAAGTCTTAAAAGGTCTGGCCCCGTCTTATTTATGTGATCTTATTAACATCTACACTCCAGTAAGAGCACTCCGGTCTACCAACCAGTTCCTTTTAGATGTCCCCAGATCCAAACTGAAATCCAGAGGTGATTGGGCTTTTGCGGCGCTGCTCCAAAATTGTGGAATAGTTTACCCGAGAATTTAAAGACCACTCAGACTGTTGAGACTTATAAATCTTTGCTGAAGACTCATCTGTATTCCTTGGCATTTGATCCATGCGGAGTCTGAGAACAAATTTTGAGCTGATTTTATTGTTGTTGGGTGTTGTATGTACTTTTAACTTGTGTTTTTGAGTGGCACTAGATGCATTTTTTACTCTTTATATCTGTTGTAACTGTAAAGCACTTTGGTCAGCTTTTATTGTTTTTATGCGCTATATAAAGAAATTGACATTGACAATCTAACTAATCAAGTTTTAAGGTTTTGGCCAAATAGACCAACTTGTCCACATTTTCTGACAAAAGCATGGATCTAGTTGCAGTGAATATCTCCAGCGCCGGTGGAACCTGCTCAGTAGCAAGAGAGGTAGCAGGAATAGAGAGTTAGCACTGTGCTAATTTTGCAATGTGGCTATATTTGGCCTCATTGTTTTTCCACCAAAGAAGAGGGTCAGCTTCAAGGGAAGGGCACCCTGAAGCTCTGTACTCACAAACCTCTTTTTGGACCTGCTCCAAAAGGGACTTGCTACTAGGGCTGAGCCATATGATATCGTTCACGATAATACCGGTAAAGAAAGCTTGCCCGGGAAAATAAATTATATCATGATATGCTAATTTCATGACATAAATACATCAGTGTTTCCCTTTATACAAGTGGGGCGCCCCACCCCGTTAGCAGCCCCCCCCCCGCCCACACACACACCACCCTGTCGGTACTGGCGTAACGCTAATTAGCTGCACGCAATACTAGCTAGCTAAAAAGCTAAAAAACAAATCACAGCTCAGCTGTGTTTTTCCACCCAGCTCTAAACTGTGGATACAGACAGCTCAGCTGTCTCTCCCTCTCCCCCACCCTGCTCTGGGCTGCCGGTGCAGGCGCAGCTCAGCTGGGTCTCCCCCCGCTCTAAACTGCCGGTACAAACACGCACAGCTCAGCTGTGTCTCTTGAGTTCCACAGTCCATGGACCAAGAAAAGAGGCAGGTAATCAAAGACAGAGCATCAGAGAAAAGGAATCATTCCTGCAAGAATAGAGGAAGCTGAAACACAACACAAGCTTCAGGGTCAGCTTGTCACAAGTTTTGGAAGTTATACCTCATTTAAAGGAAACAATTTTTTTGTTGTATGTTACATTTATGCTCAACAGATCTTAAGCTTTAATTTTATTTAGTTATTTTGGGAACTGCACATGCACTTTAGCGTTTGTGGTATCTTTTGTTCATCTAATGTATATTTTGTGCAGACTATTTCAATCTAAATAACAGAAGGATAATTTTATTTTTTTTATTTTCATACTTTGAGACTGAATACTTTACTAAATAAAGTAATTTCAGTCAAATTAACCCTTGTTTTTTTTTTTTTTTTTTTTTTTTATAGAATACTGCAAAGCAACATGTTAAGTTAATTTTATGAAATGAATAACTATGATTTCTGTTTGTTTATTTTTTTGTTATATGACAAAAATTATCATTATCGTCAGAATACTCTGAAATATCACAATTTTATATTTGAGCCATATCACCCGTCCCTACTTACTACTTCCCACCAGTCCCTGGAAAAGTTCACAAGAGTTCAGTCATTATAGACTTCTTAGATGGAGGTGATCTGGTGGATGATTTCCCCGAAGAGGAACTCTATGACATCCTCAGACCACAAACGAACACAGAGGTAAAAAAAAATTGAGTTAATAATATTATAATTTTTAATTTAAAAAAAATTCAATTAGACCATAATAATACAATAACAATACCTCTTCTTGTACGGTCATCATTTCTGTTATGAGGTGGCTGAATCTCCTCTCTCGCTCATCATCGTCGATGTGGCAGGGCTTTAAATCTGGGCTCCAGGGCTTGTTGACAATCATAATTAGCTTTTTCATAAAGTGCTGCTACAACTTTTTGGCTGAAGTGTTTACGCGATGGGATGTCATAGCGGGGCTCAATAACTGTAAAGCTGGCGCATCAACAACAGAATACGGACGTAGATCCAGAGCTTTAAAAACTCCTACAGCTTGTGTTATTGCTTTGGACCGATCTAAATTACTGGATACAGGTTGTTTAAATGCTGCTGTTATCAGTCTTTGAACCAAGCTGCTTTTCTGGAGACGTTCACGTTCGGATGATGTCGTTTCAAGCGCGTTAACAAGTTGGATGCAGTGGTTAATTTGAGCCGGATCCTGCCGGAACAAGATCCGGGAACTCTCACATTTTGACCCGTTCTGGTTCTGCAACTCTTTGTTCGGATCCGGCAACTCCGCCCCTAAAAGTTCAAAGTCATTACACATTTTTATTTTGATTATTTATTAAAAATACAAGGAGGGGAGACGTTGCCCTCAGCCCGGCGGACCCAGTCTGTGGATGTTGCAGCCGCAGCACACGCGGTGCATAGTTACACGCCCCTTCGAGGAGCAGTAGAGGAGCAGTAGAGGAGCCTCTAGGTGGGGGTGGGGTAGGGGGTGAGGACAGAGGGACAGATGGACTTACGGACTTATATACAGAGATTCTCCTCCTCCTTGTCTCCTCCTCCTTGTCTCCTCCTCCTCTCCAAATATTGTCCCTACTCAGTGGGGCTGCGCACTGAAAAACACCCCCTCTCCTCCTCTCAGACCCTCCAAACAGACGATCATTTATTCAACAGAATAAATAAATTCCCTTTAAAAATTGCACGCTACGCACAAATGCCTCCAGACAGCTCTAGCGCGCGCACAACATCAGCAGGTGTCTGAACTCCTGCTACATTTCACACATAATAAATAAAAAAGCTCACTGTAAAAAATAAATTAAAAATGCAAAGAGAGAAATGTTTGATGTGTTATTCACATTATACGTCACGTTTCAAAACAACGGCGCTAATTTGTCAAAATAACAACAGCAATCAAAATGTCAAAAAGACAGTCCATTTACTTTAATAAAACACGGATGGATGGGGCAGCACAGTGGCGCAACTGGTAGAGCTGCTGCCTCTCAGCGAGCAGGTCCCTGGTTCAAATTCTGGCCTTTGGCCTTTCTGGGTGGAATTTGCATGTTCTCTCTGTGCATGTGTGGGTTTCCTCCAGGTACTCCGGTTTCCTCCCACAGACCAAAAACATGCATGTTAGTCTGATTGGTAACTCTAAATTGTCCCTAGGTGAGAATGAGAGAGTGAATGGTTGTTTGTCCCTGTGATGGACTTGCGTCCTGTCCAGGGTGTACCCTGCCCCTCGCACAGTGATTGCCGGACATGGGCACCGGTGACCCCTGTGACCCAAAATGGAAGAAGCGGGTAAATGATAATGGATGGATGGATGTCCTTAGTTGGACAACAGATAATTGAATCCTTCAGGTGCTTCAAACAGTGCCATGAGACTGGAGCAGGAGCGGAGAAGAGTTCAACTCAGAACCGTGAAGTGAGGGGAGGGAGGAGGGGGTTTAGGACACCTGACAAAATTGGTGCTGCTCTAATTCACACACAACCTGCTGTTCCTCTCCAAAATAGTGATTTAATCAAGTGTTTACATATGTAGGTAAATGCTGATGTATAACAACCCTTTAAAATGCACCAGAATGCAGGAAATGGGATCTCTGTTATTCAAAATTTTCTGTGAGAGGACCCACAGAACCCCCACCAGCCCACTGTTCCGGTATCAATCAGTTTACAATTTAAGCCCTGGTTAAATGTGTTGCCTGCTGTAGATCCAATCTCCATGAAACAATGTCGACACACATTTTTGGATTTGTTTGCTTGTCTTAACAAGAAAGCCATAATGTTCAGTGTTTCCCCTAGTTAACTTGCCATGGCGGGGTGCTCATCTCATCCATGATTTTTGCTGATGGGGGGGCGGAGACATGTCTGAGCGCAGCTTGTACTAACAGTTTATGAGTGGGGTAGGGGGGCGTTCAACATGAGGGAAGAAGCAATGCGAGTGCTGCCTTGGGCTTTTTTGCTAGAGAGCCTGTATTTTGTGCCGCTACCTTAGTGATATGTCAGTGCCGGGTGGGAGGGGCAAGTTCAATTTGGTAGGCGGGGTGCTCAGTTTTGTTGGCGGGGTATGGCACCCCACCTGTATAATGGTAGGGGAAACACTGATGTTCCCAAACAGGAGACCGCAACAAGATGCTAGGATGCTAATGCTACTCATGCTACAAGACTGCAACAATAAATAGCACAGTGCTGAAACACTCTAAGGAACTTCAGTTCTGCAGCGCATGATTTCTCGCTAATAAAATTTGATGAGTGAAAAAATAACCAAAACGTTACGCACGTGGACCGAACCGAACATGCCATAGCGAAATGGTTCAATACACCCACGTGTACGTTACACCACTAATACCAATCCATCTCAAACCGTTACTGATTTCATCTCAAAGGATTCTAAATGCAGCCGTGCTGGCAGTGAATACCTGGCCATGTTGTAAGCGTAATATTCCTCATACACCCTTGTTGGAAATCTATGAATTCTAATTGCAAAATTAAAACCTAATCCTTACCTAATTCATGTTTGTACAAACTTTTGGGTCCATGTTTGATGAGCTCAGACATGGGTTCTGTGCCACGCAACAAGTTTAACTTCCCCAAAGGTTGTAACTCGCCCTGACAAAGAGGAATCCTGCTTAGTGTCCTTTGAAGCTTTTTATTACCTCTGTAATTTAATCTGGGTCAGTGCAACTTCATGTAATATGGGTGCTTCAGCAAGGAAAGACTGCTAAAAAATGGTGAAGTATTAAAAAAATAGACATAAAAGACACGATGCCCATAGCCCTTTATGCCAGAGTTTTAAAAGTAAAATCCTGTTATCTACTTTGTTTGGGGCTTTGGATCAGTGGTTGGTTCAGTTGTTCTCTGACAGTTTCAAAGGTTTGAATCCTGACAGTATTCTGTCACATGACGAAGCAGCCCTGGGCAAGATGCTGAACCCCTCATTTCCTCTGTGTCCCATCGGTGAATAAATGTGATCTAAAGCTCTGATTAGTCTCTACAGATTCAGATTATCTTTATAGAGATCTAGTATAGTGCTTTATGAATGTGTGTGTGGAGGTAAATGAGGGCACAGCTTGCGTTGTAAAGTGCTTTGGATAGTTATGGTTTGCTAGAGAGGCACTTCAGAAGTACAGTCCATTTCCCATTTATTTTATCTTGAAAAATAGACTTTTAGTCCTTTTTAATCAAATCTTGAAAATAAAACTTGTGCAACATTGCTTGATTTATAAGCACTGTATGTGGTGTAAATGGTGTTCAGCTACAAACGGAGATGCACCCATTCCACAGTTTAATCAAGAAGTCCCTGATAAATTAAAGAACTGAACCATGCTGCTGTGAAAAGGCATCAGAACATTTTTTAGTTTATCCCCCTTCTCTGCAAAGATCAAAGATAAAATCCTTTCTCTGTAGTAATTTACAGTTAACTTTTGTCCAAGATAGGGGTGGGCGATATGGCTCAAATATTATAATGTGATATTTCAGAGCATTCTGGCGATGACGATAAATTTTGTGATATAAAAAAACCAAAACACAAATCATAGTTATTCATTTGACAAAATTAACTAAACATGTTGCTTTGCAGTATTATATATAAAAAAAACAAGGGTTAATTTTACTGCAATTACTTAATTTAGTATTCAGTCTCAAAGTATAAAAATAAAATTGATCTATCTGTTATTTAGATTGAAACCGTCTGCACAAAATATAGATCAACAAAATCCACCACAAAAACTAAAATGCAGGTGGTTTCACAAAATAACTAAATAAAATAATAAAATGAAGCTTAAGATCTGTTGAGCATAAATGTAACATACAGCAAAAAAAAAAGCATATGTTTCTTTAAATGAGCTATAATTTCCAGAACTTTTTTTTCTCCCTTGTCCTGTCCGGCATTGTGGCACTCAAAATTATTGTTTGAGTGTCAAGGTGATGCCCAACAGATTTACTTTCATGTAAATTATGGCTGGCCTTAATGCTGTGCTTGATATCTAAATAAAACTTCATTAGAATTTGCTTTGGGTTTGTTTCAGATGTAATGGACACGGGGATGAAAAAAGTTCTGGAAGTTATAGCTCATTTAAAGGAAACATATATTTTGTTGTATGTTACATTTATGCTCAACAGAACTTAAGCTTCATTTTATTTAGTTATTTTGGGAAACATCACCTGCATTTCAGTTTTTGTGGTGGATTTTTTCATCCCCGTGTCCATTACATCTGAAACAAACTTCCAGAACTTGTAACAAGGTGATCATCTGACCCTGAAGCTTGTGGTGTTTCAGCTTCCTCTGTTCCTGCAGGAATGATTCATTTCTCTGATGCTCTGTCTCTGATCACCGGACTCTGGTCCTGGTCCATGGACTGTGGAACTTAAGAGACAGACCTGCACATGTTTGTACCGGCAGTTTAGAGCGGGGGAAACCCGCACTGGCAGCACAGAGCGCGGTGCGGAGAAAAAAAAATGCTAGCTGCGTTTGTACCGGCAACTTGGAGTGGGGGAGACGCAGCCGAGAGCTGCGCCTGCACCGGCAGCTCAGAGCGGGATGTGAGGGGAAGGGAGAGACTTTTGAGTTGGTTGTACCTGCAGTTTAGAGCTGGATGGAGAGACAGCTGAGCCGTGTGTTTTGTTTTTAGCTTTTTAGCTATCTAGTACTGTGCGCAACTAATTAGCATTACGCCAGTCGGAGGGGGGGTGCGCAGTTCGGTTTGGTCGTTCGGCGCGCTCGGTTCTGTTAACGGGGCAGGGCCCCTGACGTATTACGTCATGAAATTAGCATATCATGATATCATTTATTTGCCCGGGCAAGCTTTTTTTACCGGTATTATCGTGAATGATATGATATGGCCCAGCCCTAGTCCAAGAACTGACTTTTATTTCTTTTTAAGTTAGGTCTGAAACAGATGTTTTTGTTCTAATATCATGCATTGTTTCCTGTCCATTTTTATATTTTCTATCAGTTTTGCTAGGGAAATACTTTTTGCATATTTTTTATAATTTACCTGTTTTTCTCCTTTTTGTGCTCAGACCTACAAGGCCTTTCTTCCTGCCATGATCGCCAACAATCATGGTCATCTTGTCAGCATTGCCAGCTCTGCTGGGCTCATAGGTGTCAATGGATTGGCAGGTAAGTCGTCTTCACTTCCACAACTACAATACTCTATGTACAATTTAAATACCGGTATGTTTATTTTTCTTGTATCTGTTGAAAAATGTTGTCAAAAACTTATTTTGCCTTTTGTCAGTCAATATGAGCAATTAACATCAGCTTCAATTATTTATTCTTTTTGAACACATCCAGTTGAAACCAGAAGTTTACATACATCATTTAAAAAGAAACGTGCATATTTTCACACTGTCTGACATGAAAGCAGAATGAACTTTTCCCGTTTTAGGTCAGTTAGGATTATTAACATTTTTTTCTAAAATGCCAAAATAATGAGTGAAATTTTTTTAAGGCAATTTTTATTACCTTCTTCAAAGGCAAAAATTTTAATACACTCCATTAGTATTTGTTTGGCAATTTACCATTGCCCTTCAGCTGTATGACTTGGGTCAAACGTTTTGGATATTCTTCTACCAGCTTCTCACAATAGTTGGCAGGGATTTTGGCCCATTCCTCCTGACAGAACTGGTGTAACCGGGCCATGTTCGGAGGCTTGCCTTTTCAGCTTTGCCCATAAATTTTCAATAGGATTGAGATCAGGGCTTTGTGATGGCCACTCCAAAACATTGACTTTGTTCTCCTTTAGCCACTTTGTAACCAGTTTGGCAGTATTCTTCAGGTCATTGTCCATTTGGAAGACCCATTTGCGCCCAAGCTTCAACTTCCTGGCTGATGTCTTGAGATATTGCTTCAATATTTCCACATAATGTTCTCCTCGTGATGCCATCTATTTTTTGAAGTGCACCAGTCCCTCCTGCAGCAAAACAACCCCACAACATAATGCTGCCACCCCCGTGTTTCACAGTTGGGATGATATTCTTTGGCTTGCAATCTTCCCCCTTTTTCCTCCTAATGTAACAATGGTCATTATGGCTAAACGGTTCCATTTTAGTTTCGTCAGACCACAGGACATGTCTCCAGAAATTAAGGTTTGTCCCTGTGTGCATTTGCCAACATTAATCTGGCATTTTTATGTTTCTTTTGAAGTAATGGCTTCTTCATGGCAGAGTGGCCTTTCAGCCCATGTCAATACTCATTTCGCTGTGGTTAATGACACACTTACCAGTTTCAGCCAGCATCTTCACCAGGTCTTTTGCTTTTGTTCTTGGGTTGATCTGCACATTTTGGACCAAAGCATGTTCATCTCTGGGGCACAGAACCCGTCTCCTTCCTGAGCGGTATGATGGCTGGCCATTCCCATTAGGGATGCACCGATCCACTTTTTCCACTCCCAATGTCGATACCGATATCTGTTGTTTAGTATCGGCCAATATCGATTCTATACTGATTTGATACAGAAAAATAGTGCTGAATTCCGTTGAACATACTTGGTGTGCTCTTTAGGGTGAAATCTCTGGAGATGCTTGATTAAGTTGGTAGTGTTATAACTGGAAGTTTTAGTGACACCCCTTGGAACCGTTGCTGTGCACGTATTGCACATAGTAGCTGTTGAATGTGTTGGCTGAGGTAGTGTGAAATAGTTCCAGATGGCTGATCCTTTCGCTTGCTCCATTTTGAAAACAGTCTGTGCGGTGAGTTTGCTGGCGTGTGATGTCACTCAGAGCACAAAGCATAGAATTAGAGTGAATAGATCTTCCCAGTCATTGATGGGTCACATTGTCACCGATACCCGATCCAGAAGTTTTTTTTTTTTTTTCGATATTGGGACCGATACCGATATTGGTATCGGATCGGTGGATCTCTATTTCCCATCTTGTTTGTACTTGTGTATAATTGTTTGTACAGATGAACGAGGCACCTTCAGGCATCTGGAAATTGCACCTAAGGATGAACCAGACTTGTGCAAGTCCACAATGCTGTTCCTGAGATGTTGGCTGATTTCTCTTGACTTTCCCATGATGTTACACAAGGAAGCAGTGTTTTTCAGGTGTTCCTTAAATTACATCCACAGGTGCCTCTAATTAACTCGGATGTTAATCAATAAACCTACCAGAAGCTTCCAAAGACATGACATCAAATGTCCCAAGTTGTTTAAAGGCATAGTACCATAATTCTCGGGTAAAGAACGCACCTGTCTGTAAGCCGCACAAATTAAATATAAGATAAATCATAATTTTGTACATAAATAAGACGCTCCGGTTATTTAGCTGTGGACATCCACCATTCATTATCAAAATGTGTGCTCAGCTCTGGCAGTGTGCAGCTTTCTTGTTGTAGTACAAGAATCAGCCACTTGATGGTGGTTCACAGTCATTGCTTGCTTTCAACACGTTGAGACTTGCATGATCGTCACAAGTCTTCATGATGTTTCGTTGTCTGACTCATGAAACCATTATACCTAAAAAATGAACAGAATAACTATCTAAGCATAATCATTGGACAGAACAGTGCCAAACACCTACGTAACTGAAATTATTTAAAATTTATTTACCAGTAAACATTACCCAGAAGTCTTATTGAGGTCATGTGACCGGAAGTCAACTAGTACCGGTAGAATGTGGTAAATATTCATTAAATTAGTACCATTGATTTAATTTTTTTTATTTTTATTATTGGTAAACACTTTTGATAACAGCTGCTGTTTTTAAATGTACTTTTAAAATAAATTTGACGTGATCTCTCCTCAGCACTGCTCATTTGAGCAGGAGGGAGGACGGGGGAATTGCCCCTCCCTCCTGTTGTCTACTCCACTCTGTTTAATGCTCCCGTTTAAGCTTAAATGAGATCCTGGTATTTAAACACACATTTGATGTACACAAAAATATATTTTTTAACTTGTTTAAATATGTATCAGTCTTGACTGACAGTCAGCTTGCAAAATAAATCTGACAATGTCTCCTCCGCTGAGCTCTCATGACTGAAAGGGAGGGGGGAAGACTCTCTCCCATTCGTTGTCTCCTCTGCTCTGTTTCATGCGTTCAGATGTGAGTTTAAAATGAGATCCTTGTATTTAAACGCATATTTATCGACACAGAAAGATGTCAAACAAAAATAATTTACCCTGCCCAGTTAACAGAAGTGAGCACGCCAAACTACTGAACCAAACTGTGCATCCCCACCACCCCACTAGTACTGGCGTAACGCTAATCTAGCTGCGTGCAATATAGCTAAAAAAGTAAAGGCATCACTCACGCTGCCTCTTCCCTCACGCTGAGCACCTCCCCCCCCACTCTAAACTGCTGGTACAAACACGCGCAGCTCAGCTGTGTCTCTTGAGTTCCACAGTCCATGGACCAAGAAAAGAGGCAGGTGATCAAAGACAGAGCATCAGAGAAAAGGAATCATTCCTGCAGCTGAAACACAAACAAGCTTCAAGGTCTGAAGACACCTTGTCACAACTTGTGGATGTTATAGCTCATTTAAAGGCAACATATTTTGTGTTGTATGTTACATTTATGCTCAACAGATCTTAAGCTTTATTTGATTTAGTTTATTTGGGAACAGCACCTGCACTTTGGTGGTGGATTTTGTTGATCTATATTTTGTGCAGATTTTTTCAATCTAAATAACAGAAGGATCTTTTTTATTTTTATACTTTTAGACTGAATACTTTACTAAATAAAGTAATTGCAGTAAAATTAACCCTTGTTTTTTTTATTTTTTTTTTAATAAAATATTGCCAAGCAACATGCTAGATTAATTTTGTCAAATGAATAACCATGACTTCTGTTTTTTTCTTTTTTTTATATATCACAAAATTTATTGTTATTGTCAGAATACTCTGACATATCACAATATTATATTTGAGCCATATCTCCCACCCCTAGGTCTGTGCATGAAGCACAGAATAGATTAACAACACAGGAACGATCTGAAGAAATTAATGCACGTCTATGTTGGGAGATTGTCCTAGAGTCCTTGTTGCGTCTAGGACCTCATTGGTCATTCAGGTTAGACTTCTGTTCACATGATGACAGAGTGGGTGGCGTTATGGTTGAGTATTTGAAACAGTGAGCAAAATGCCTGGTACATCTGATTAATTGGGGACGGCTGTGGCTGAGTGGTTAGAGCAGTCGTCCTCCAATGCGAGAGTTGCGTGTTTGAATCTACCAGCAGTCGCATGTTGAAGTGTCCCTGAGCAAGACACTGAACCTCTCATAGCCTCTGATGTGTGTCCCATCAGTGTATGAATGTGATCTTAAAAAAAAAAAAGCACTGATTAGTCTCATCCTGATGCATGCTCAATTTTCCAGGTAGAAAAATCTAAAAAAAAAATGGAGCGTGAGATCGATAGGCGGATAGGTGCAGCGTCTGCAGTGAAGCGGGCGCTGTACAGGTCTGTCGTGGTGAAGAGAGAGCTGAGTCAAAAGGCGAAGCTCTCAATTTACCGATCGATCTACGTTCCCACCCTCATCTATGGTCACGAGCTTTGGGTTGTGACCGAAAGAATGAGATCTCAGATACAAGCGGCCGAAATGAGTTTTCTCCGCAGGGTGTCTGGGCTCTCCCTTAGAGACAGGGTGAGAAGCTCGATCATCCGGGAGGGACTCGGAGTAGAGCCGCTGCTTCTCCACGTCGAGAGGAGCCAGTTGAGGTAGCTTGGCCATCTGGTTAGGATGCCTTCTGGACGCCTCCCTGGTGAGGTGTTCCGGACACGTCCCACCGGAAGGAGGCCCAGAGGAAGACCCAGGACACGCTGGAGGGACTATGTTTCTCGGCTGGCTTGGGATGCCTCGGGATTCCCCCGGAAGAGCTGGACCAAGTGGCTGGGGAGAGGGAAGTCTGGGCCTCCCTACTTAGGCTGCTACCCCCGCGACCCGACCCCGGATAAGCGGAAGAAAATGGATGGATGGATGGATGGATGAAAAATCTAAAAAAGTTAAATCTGGTCCTCTGGACATTCAAATAACAAAACGAAGCAAAACAACAACAACAACAACAAAAAAAAAGTAGAAACGTTTCGTCTTTCATCCGGCACAAACAGAGTAATGTTGTGTATGCTGTTCAGTGTCAGGAGGGCTGTGATCAGTCTTACATCGGGGAAACTAAACAGCCACTGGCCAAAAGGATGGCCCAGCACAGAAGAGCAACATCATCAGGCCAGGACTCTGCGGTCTACACTCATCTCCAGGTCAGCGGTCACTCTTTCAGGGATGAAGATGTGCACATCTTGGACAGAGAGGAACAATGGTTTGAGAGAGGAGTAAAGGAGGCCATCTTTGTGAAAAGAAACCGTCCATCGTTAAACAGGGGTGGAGCCTCCGGGTTCAACTGTCCCCCTCTTACACTGCTGTGATTGCTAGTATCACTCAGCCCTCTGTGAATAGTAAACAGCCATCAGTGTGCTAATGATCCATTTTTAGGCTGATGGTCCTTCTTGAGCATGTGATCAGCTGGTTTTGGTTGTCAGCAGCAAACTGGTTGATCCACTCTGAGAAGGTGCTATTTAAGAGACTGAGCTGAAAACAGCTCCTCAGACTGAGGAAGTCTCTCGGATGAGAGACGAAACGTTTCTACATTTTTTTGTTGTTTTGCTTTGTTTTTTTTTTTTTTTAATGTCCAGAGGACCAGATTTAACTTTTTTAGAGTTGTTGATCTGGTATTTATTCTGTAGCCCACTATGATCAGCTGCATGGAGTCATTTTCATTAAAAGACATCAAATCACCCACAGTTCTCATCTTGTATTCAGTTTCAACTGTTTTGAATTTCTAATTATAGGCTTTGACTCAGAACTGTGTCAGTCTCCTCCTGGAGGAGGAACATACAGCAACATGCATGTTTTTATGCTTTGTACATGTCAATAAAACACTAAACTGGTAAGTTGCCAAAGAACAATCACTACAGCTAGGTTTTATTTATGTGTAGTAAAATAATGTCTAGTAGAGGTGACATTACAATGAAACTATTTCTCAGTATTTGAGATTAAACAGAGTATTTTAATTATTGAAATGAAGAAGGTGAAACTTGGTGCAACTGTTTTATTTTATTATTTATTTTTTGGGGAGTGGTGGTGCAGAGGTTAGAGAAGGTGGGCCTGTGATCATAAGCTCGCCAATTCAAGTCCCGGTACCAACAACATCAAAAATGTGGGTGGGGTAAGTGAAGCGCCCACACCTGCCCCCACCCTCATTCGCCCCACTCTGGGCCCATTTGCAAGGCCCTTAAGCCCCATCTGCTCCCTAAACAGGTCTCTTGAAAATGATTTCTCGTGGCTCAATGAGTCTACATGTATAAATAAAGGATAAATGAAAAGAAAAAAAATTCAAACTAAAGGTCAGCACACGTACATTTAGGAATGCATGTTTCACAACCACACTAAATATACTTGGAAAAGCAGATTCATTTATAGAAATGATATTTTCACTCATTTGTTGCTGTGATGCACGACTGCACACAACTTCTGGACCAAGTGGAGTTGCATCTTCTGGGAGAACCTTACACAGAAATACAACACAAAGGGAGAAAACAATTAAAATGATGATCTTGTTTCAGGGTTTTAAAACAACATTTAACCAATGGATTAAAAGGAGTTACCAAATTGTAACTTTTCACCACTAACTTTATTAACAAAAGCAGTCATAGTGGAAAATAAATAATATCAGTGACATTTACTGTAACACGTTAAATACTATGACTGAGCAATAATTACAAATGATTTATTTTGTTAAGACTAATTTAAATATGAAAGACAGTCATAGACAAAATAAATAATGTAGTAATGTGAGAAATAATCAGTGATATTTACTGTAGTACTTGCTACATCAGCTAAGCTAATCTTTGCTACAGTAAATAACAGCTATCTTTAATGTAGCACAGATTAGCTTAGCTGATGTAGCATGTAGCAAGCCATGAGGGACATATACGTGTTTATTATTGTAACTACTTACTCTGCCAGTCACCAGAACTTTATTAACATGACGAGTTCGGACGTCCTTCACAAATCCGTTATTAATTATAAGCATCCGTGGGTTTAAAGCTGTGAAGCTCCTCTGTTGTAGGCACTCCTCGTGTTCATTATTAATTAACAATATCAAAGTAACTTCTCGGTGACAACTTGTCTGTTTCGTCTGACATCATTTCTTTCTCCACCTCATATGGGTCAACTCTGCAGCTATTTTATGCCTAAATCTTGCTCTTGGTCAAGAGTATCAATATACTGAGCTCTGGTCTGTCTGTAAGTCATCTTCTTCACATGCGCCTCAACATATGGTGGAAAACACAGTATTGCGTAATACTGGTCACGTGTGTGGGAACTATGTATTACTGGAAACAGCTTCTGCTGTGAAGGTAGATGAAGCATTTTTGTTCATTTCTGGGTTTAAGACCATTTTGACTCCTGTCAAAGAGCTCTGATCAGTCGGGTGCAGATGTCTGCTTACAGAACAGTACAGTTTATTGACAATAAACAAACTTCCTGTTAAGATACTTAAGATTTGATGCTGTTTTTTTTCCTTGAGACTGCTGTACATTTGTAGGTGATCTCAGGTCTTTATTTTATTTTATTTTATTTTTTAATAATCCTCCAAGTAACTGATGATTGACAGATGAAAATCCTAATACCATCTGATTGTTGCAGTCTACATCTTTATTAACCCTCCTGTTATGTTCGTTTCTGAGGTAAAGCAATAATGTTCGTGGGTCAATTTGACTCGGGGAGTGTTTAATCATGTAATAGTGTCAGAAACCCAAAAAATACTCAAACATTTTTGTATCTGATTATTAACTCCAATACTAACAATGTCAGTTAATATTTGTGCAATGATGTTTTTTTATTTATCATAAATAAAGGATAAATGACGACAACTAACTCATTTTGACATAAAAAATGTGATTTACATTTTTTATGTTTGCTGAAAAAACCTACACACAAAAAAGCAATAATTATCCTTGAAATTGATTTTTGTAAAAAAAAAAAATTATATTACATTTTAATTTTTTTTTTTTTTTTTCATAGGGTGATCTTTATAATTGAACTTGAGACGCATATACTGTTCTGGGTCAAATTGACCCGCTCATTAAAATCAAGACAAATGAGTCATGAAGATTTGTATTGAAAGTAAACTTTATTCAGCCACTGTTTTTTGAACCAGAAATGAACAAAACAACAAAATAAGATCTTAGGAACACTAACACAGTGCATGTATGTCTGTGAATCTCCACAGCTCACAAGTAACATGTCATCATGTTGTGATGGTATACACCATGCAATAAATACAATCAGAAATGCCACAAAAATGAATATATGTAAATTAACTAGATGCTTTAGTTTTGTCATCTACACAACACATGAAGGACATGTCATCAGACTGTGCTTTGTGCAAATAAATTTTGCACATTTCACACAAGTCACGCTCGTTTTGACATCATCAGATGGCTTGCAAACCTGGCACCTCTTCCTCTTCTTTTTTCCTCCACTAGCAACCTAGAAAGACAAATAAAATGGTTAATATATTTTTTGATGCTCCTAAGACACACATAACATGCACTCGCACAAACACACACTTTTACTTACCTCACACACTGATGTACTGTGTGTAGTCCTCTCCTGGATCTCCTTTACTACAGCTGCAGTAGCTGGGTCCTTGGCATATGCTGTCTTCGTTGTATATGTGGTACCACAAGTGCCTTGCCCAGCTTTTCTAAGAAAATGCGCCTCTTGTACAGCTTTGACACATTCCACTCCGGAAAGATTTCCATCCAAATGACAAATGCGTTGTATGCTGATACATCAATGATGTTGTAAAAGATGACCAGTGGCCAGCACACAGTCATTCTCTTGGTGCTGTATGACCCTGTGACCTTGTCCAGATTGTCCACCCCGCCTTTGGCAGCATTGTAGTCAAGGATCATTGTTGGTTTATGGTCCTCTCGTGTGCTGATTTCAGCATTTTTATGCAAAGTGCTCATGAGCACAACATTTTTACCCTTTTTAGGGCAATAGGACACCAGGGCTGTATTGTCTGTAAAGGCAAACATGGACAATTGAAGGTCTCTGTTCTTTGTCACCAGTAGCTCAGCGGGGAGTTCAGCTCTGTTCTTTCGGACTGTCCTAAACATTGTGAGCTTTCTTTTTAGAAGTTCTTGACCCAAGTTATAGCTTGTGAAAAAATTGTCACAGGTTATGTTGTGCCCCCTGAGACCATTTGACATGTCAAGCACAACCCTTGTACCTTGATTTTTTTTTTTCTGGGGCTCCTCCAGCTGGCTTTCCAGTGTAAACCTGCATGTTCAAAACATAGCTGGTTTTTGCATCACATGCTGCCCAGAATTTTATGCCATATTTAGCTGGCTTGGAAGGCATATATTGCTTAAATGAGCAGTGACCTCTGAATGCCACAAGTCCTTCATCTACTGTGACATTAGGGCCTGGGTTATAGAACAGGGGAAGTTGCTCAACCCACTTGTCCCACACTGTCCTAATAGCTGCTAGTTTGTCTGTTTCCCGTCTGACAACTCTTGTCTCTCGATTGTCAAATCGGATTACTCTGGAGAAAATAGGAAAAGTCTCCAGAGACATTGTGGCCCGAAATATTGCCCTGCCTGTCTCTGCATCCCATAGACTGGCTGTTGATTCATCCTTTGACTTGTAAACTCCGGTCAGAATGAGAACCTCCAAATATGCATGTAAATGCATTTGGTCCAGCTCCTTCCAGTTCTCTCCAAAAACTCACCTTCCTTCTAGATTTGTCATTTGAAGAATGATTTTTTTGTATTACATTAGGCATGAGTAGCTCAAAGACCGACTTGATA